GCAGCTTATCCCGAGGACACCACACTCCCCCGCTACACACAGAGTGGACTCCAGATACTTGGGCTCGTCACCGCAGTCCACGGCACCGCCATTCCTAAAGAGCCTGCGACGGTTCAACAGGCTCTGGGGGGGGAGCACAGGGAAAAATGGCGCGAAGCCATGGACAGGGAGCTGAAAGCATTAGAAGAGCGCAACACGTGGAAAGTCGTTCCCATCGGCGTAGCACGAAACAAAACCATCCTTACCGGAAAATGGGTCTTCCGCGTGAAAACGAAAGCAGACGGCACCATCGAGAAGTTCAAAGCACGATGGGTCGTGCGCGGCTTCGACCAAGAGCACGGACGCGACTTCACCGAAACATTCGCACCTGTCAGTCGACACACCTCACTGCGAATTCTCCTCGCAATCGCCGCCATGAAGAAGAAGAAGCTAAGACAAATCGACGTTGCAAATGCATTTCTCTACGCATCTGTCGACGCAGAGATCTTTGTGGAACTACCACACGGCTCCAGCACGGACTCCACACACGTCTGCCAGCTGCTCAAATCGCTCTACGGCATCAAACAGGCTCCGCGACTGTGGCAACAGTACCTGCACGCTCGCCTCATCCGCATCGGCTTCAAACAACTGCCGCACGATCAGGGCATGTACCGACTTACAAAGAACACCGACTACATTCTACTAATCGTCTATGTAGACGACCTCCTCTACATCGGCTCGTCCGACGGCATCACCACCTGGTTCGAAGGGGAGCTGCAGCAAGATCTCATGCTTACGGTTTCATCTACCGTCACACAGTACCTTGGCTCAACATCCGAGAAGAAGACGACGCGATCTACCTCAGCGCCGCAAAATACGCCGACACCATCGCCAAGCGTTTCGCTCTTGCACCAACCGCCATCTCCACACCATATCGCTACACGACAGGGAACAACAAGGGTGAATCCGCTCTACTTAAGCCTATCGGCATTCGCGACTACCAGAGAAAGCTGGGATGTCTTCTCTTCGCAGCCGTCACCTGTCGCCCAGACCTATCCTACTCCGCAAGCCAACTCGCCACCTACCTCAAAAGACCCGAAGCAGAGCACCTAGCAGAGCTCGACCGCGCTCTTCACTACCTCGTCAGCACCCCGACGATCGGGCTAACCTACCATAGGAACGCAACTACACCGACTAAATTAATCGGCTATGTCGACGCAGATCATGCTGGCGACTCAGACAACAGACGCTCGCGTACTGGCTACATCTATCGCCTTGAACCTATCGGTCCTATCTCCTGGCAGTCGAGCAAGCAGGAGTTAATCGCACTCTCATCAGCTGAAGCAGAATACATTGCACTCTGCTCAGCCACCAAAGAAGGACTTTACCTTCGCGAGCTGCTGGAAGAAGCGAAATTAGCCGAGTTACCCAACTTCACCCTGTTCTGCGACAACCAGTCGGCAATTCGCATCGCCAACAAAAGCGGCTTCGCAAAAAGGACGAAACACATCGCCCTACGCTATTTCTTCGTAAAGGACGAGATCGAGAAGGGAAAACTCGTGCTGTCATACTGTCCCACGTCCGAGATGGCAGCCGACTATTTGACCAAGAAGCTCGGGAAGCAGAAGTTTGAGTATTGCATGCTGCTGACTGGACAAAGCCACGTCATCAGCTGCGACACTCCAGAAGCGAAGGGGAGTGTTGGAAACAGTAAATCTTAAGCGCCTCTGTCGTGTCGAAACATCGCACCAGAAGCGAAGCGAACTATATTGAGGCACACGCGAGTCAACCCTCGGAGGTTGAAAGAGGTTGCTGGAGGTTACGCGAAAGTCAAAGGTCAGCGACCTTTGACCTAACAAGTACAGCGCGACAGTAAGGACACACAACTGACTCGCTACAGAGCAGTTGCCCGAGTCGTGACCGTATCGAACCGCAACAGCAACAGTAAAGCAGTTATAACCGTATCCTTTCATATTCCTTGTACTCATATATAAATGCTTGTATCTCTTTGCTTTAATCAACTTACTTTGCCCTCACATACTAGCGCAAGGTGGTTCACAACTTCTTCATTAAACGCTTCCGCTATTACAATTGTCCTACCTCGATTTTACTCCTGCAAAGATGCTAAGGACTTTTTCTCAGCCCAACATTATCATTACCAATCCGAATTTCAATCAATTTTTTGTGAGAGGATTACGTATTGTCAGTATGGTAAATGATTTTTGTTTACTACTGATTGAAGGCCCTATTGTGGCGCTGGCAACACCGTATATAGTCCTAGTTATGCCCAAGTTAATCAACGCACATTTCAAGCGCAAAATCTATCTTGGATTAAGATAAAGGGTACCAGGTGTATTGTAGCTTGGTGTGGTTGACAGCTCCTTTTTGTCTCATTATGAAAAGATCCTGCCATTTTCCGAGCTCCCCGAGTCAACGAGAAAGATTCAGTAACGACTGCATCTCCTTCAGTCAATGCGGTGCTTTCTGTATGCTGTACAAAACGAAAGAAGAAGCAATTGGTTTGGATGGGCATTCTCAGATAAGAGGCGTGATCCCATGCGAGGGTGTCACGGGATCTTTTGTTGGAGGAGCTCCAAGAGACGCTTGAGCCAATTCGCAACGGCCGACGCCTGGCCAGTGGTGTTCAGTACACAAGATGCCCAACCCCTGCACGCGAAATTGCCTCGCACGTTCCAGAAACCTTGCACACGAAGGTTTTTTCCCGGGCAGTTGCACCCACGTTACAAGCACGTCAACCAATACGAACCACAGAAACAGAAGAGACCGAAGTCAAACAGTCAACGGTGAGTTACAAAATTTTGCTATAAGCCCTTTTTGCCCGACGCGAATTGACGAAACCTCCACGAAATGCATGAATCACTTAAGCGCCCCCTTCACAAGGCAACCTTGGGTTAGTCAAACGGACATCGTGTGTACGGGTTTTTCCTTGCTAAAAGACACCATTGTAGCACGCCCTGTCAAGGATCCAGATGCGCTGTACCAGTGTCTTACTACAGTATACCACACATGCCCTGCCCCCTACCAGCCGAGTGTACAGTATCTTGGTGACGTGACCGCAACGAGCCTGCTTTCCGGTTTGGGCCGACCTCAGGTGCAAATCGGTCTACTGTACACGGATGGGTTTGAGGGGGCGCTGAGAATGCCAGACCGGAAAATGTACAGTACAAGGCACAAAATAGTGTGAAAATTACAAAATGTACCGTGTACACCCACATTCTCGATAGACTAGCATATGTCATACTAACCAAGACGCTTAGTGTAACCGCAAAGCGTTATAGTGACAATTCGACCCAAGGCGGTCAGTCAAGGTTTAAAACTTTATAAAATGGTACTGTTGTTTTCAAAACGGTTAGGACGGTTATTCAGCGTTAACGCTTTTTTGACGCATCGCACCAGCCCGCTATTTCCAAACACTGTAGCCAGTGCTTCCGCTTGTGCGAAGGCCGAGAACGAAAGTGCAGGTGAAATAGTGTTCAACCACACCGTCAAATCAAAAGTGCTTGTCGAATAGCCCCGGGTGCAGGCAAAACTTTCGTTTTTGAAGGCACGGAAGGCTCCGGGTTCGCCTGAGAAAAGACCCTGAAGAATCAGCACTCCCTCAAAAGTTTCCCTTCCGCGTCCGTATGTTAAAAAAAAAAAACCGAAAATGCAAAAGAGCAGTTCATCCCTAGGCGCAAGAGGCTCTAAAACGTCTTAGTTGGATGGGCAAGGACCAACAAACCTGAAACTTACATACTGTCTGACAGCACTTCTGGGCATCTTTGCACTCGACATCCCACACAAGAAATAGTTCTGAGCTAAAATCTAGGATTGTTTTCGAAACAATACTAATGAATTGTACTTGATAATAATTTTTTATTAAGTTCCAGAACGCTCAGACAAATCATCCGGAAATGGTCCGGATGATTTCTAGAACGATTCTGATGAATCAGGGTTAGCCGACAAAACATACGGAATGTACCTGAGTTTCAGAGTGTTTACCCTGATACCGAGAGCCCTGCCCGGGTGGCGGAGCTGAATGAAACACATCCGCACTGTACACATCACACTGTAGGTGCCCCACGGAGAATATCTCTGGGCAGCAGGGAGGAAAGCATAAAGAGACAAAAGAGTGGTCCTTTCTTACCCTGCCCAACGAGCAGCCTTTGCCACCCACTTCTAGAAGCACGTCGAGCTGACTAAACGGCGCCATGCGTCATCATAGAAGCCGCGTGCTGGCTTTGGTTTGGTGCCAGAGGCCTGTCGTCCAGTCTGTCTCACGCAGGATGCAGGCGATCAGTCAGTTGTTTGCAGTATGGAGTTGTTTTCCTTCCCCGACCGACGATTTAGGCGCTAGCTGCACTCTGCTTGCTGTGTCCTAGTTTTCGAGTAAGAGCATCTGCACTGCACTGTTCGAGCCGCAAAGAGCGTCGTTTTTTTTTAGCATCGACGCCTTATGAGTCATGAACGCCTGCATCTCCATTGCAACAGCGGCGCACCTACATTATGGTTCTATACTGTAGATTAGCTACACGGAGGTAGGATGGGGTTAGGAAGTTCCAAGAGAAGCAGCAAACCCTAATTTGTAGCCCTAGCCCTCTGCTGACCTCCCTACACGCCTTCGTTTCATTCCAACCCAGCTGTTGCCAGCCAGCCAGTGCCATTTTCCGGCAAATCAAATCACCGAGCGTTCCGCTAACTACTGGAGTTTCGCGACGACCATTCCACAACCCGGCGTTCCGGAAACCCGCTTTCCGTAACCGAGCACTCCGCAAACCTGCCTCCCGCACGCCTGTGCGCGACGCTGCGTCGCGCGTACCAGCGTTCCGACAATACCGTTCCGCAACGGTTACTAGGCACCGCAAGTAGTGGCAAAAATCCGAGTACTTGTATCCGAGTAGTACAATCCGAGTACTAGGCACTGCGATTTGAGTACTTGTAGCTGTTTGTGCGACAGAAATCCGTAAAAAATGGCAAACCCTCGCAGAAGAGATATTCCGAGTGACACGAGGGAGTTAGCAATGTTGCCTAGAAACGACTCAAATCTTTCACAGCCGAATGAGAAGGACGGGGAGCAACGGCAATTGATAGTCGCGGCACCTGCGGCGGGGTCGAGTCAGCCAGGGGGAGATGATGGCGCGTTTTCGGATAAGCTCATGCATTTCGACCTAGATTCCTCCGAAGCGTCTTTCCCCACAGTCGAGTTTAGCGGCGACGCGACGATTCGCAATGATGACCTGGTTATTGACATTGCTGACGTGTCCTGCTGTTGCTTCCCGCGAATAAAACGCTCGAGTTTTCAATCTAGAAGCCGCGACGGTTCTTCCGCCGCCGCCGCCGCCTCCGCGGCCTCCGCTGGGTGCTTCCCCAGCGCAGGGGGAAGGGGGACGCGGCAGCGCGGAAGCACTGTCCAGCGGGCGCCGTCAGCTGCCGCGACAGGCGGTGGCGGAGGCGCCAGGGGCGGAGGCGGCAGCGGCAGCGGCGTAGTGGCGGAAGAGGAGGAAGACGGGGAAGGGGATGCGCGGAAGGGATTTTCGCGGTGGACTGTACGCGCGGTGCGGTGCTTCGGTCTTGCGCCGGGATGGGCGCAACTCGCCTTGCGCATGTGCTGGTTGGCGCTGGGGCTGGGGATCGCGGTGCTGGCGTTCTGGGGGAGCTATGTCGCGCAGAGCAACAGCGCAAAGGTACGGCATGTGGGGGAATCTGGCGCAGCGGAACAGCGCAAAGGTACGGCGTTTGGGGGGAGAGTGGCGCAGCGGAACAGCGCAAAGGTTCGGCGTTTGGGGGGAAAGTTGCGCAGAGCAACAGCGCAAAAGTACGGCGCGGTGGAAAGTGGCGCAGCGGAACAGCGCAAAGGTACGGCCTTGGGGGGGAAAGTGGCGCAGCGGAACAGCGCAAAGGTACCGCGTTTGGGGGGAAAGTGGCGCAGCAGAACAGCACGTACGGATTTTGGGGGAATACGGCGCAGCGGAACAGCGCCAAGGTACCTCTTTCCGGGAAAAGAAAAATTACCATCCTGCTCTAAGAAGTATGTGGAAAAACGGCTTTTAAAGACGACTCTTTCAATCGTTGACCTGTCCTGTTCCAAGCGCCGGCTCAGGAATTCGCCGCGGAGGTTTTACCGTTGGTGCTCCCCGCTCACACCACCCCCACCCCACCTCACGCCCCCCCACCCACCGCCTCCCCTCGCCATGCCCCCCACTCACACCCCCCCCATCCACACGCCCCCTCGCCACATCCCCTCTCCTCGTCCCCTCGCCACGCCTCTTCCCCTCGCCACGCCTCTTCCCCTCGCCACGCCTCTTCCCCTCGCCACGCCTCTTCCCCTCGCCACGCCTCTTCCCCTCGCCACGCCTCTTCCCCTCGCCACGCCTCTTCCCCTCGCCACGCCTCTTCCCCTCGCCACGCCTCTTCCCCTCGCCACGCCTCTTCCCCTCGCCACGCCTCTTCCCCTCGCCACGCCTCTTCCCCTCGCCACGCCTCTTCCCCTCGCCACGCCTCTTCCCCATACCACGCCTCTTCCCCATACAACGCCCATTCGCAACGCCCCTTCGCCCCACTCGTCACCTCGACTCGACCCGTCGCTCGCCCTGTTCCCCTCCCCTGTGCCACGCCCCTGGCTGGCAGGAGGCCTCAACGAGCCAGTGCATCAACTGGACCGCTCAGCTCAGCGCAGATTCCGTCTGAGAGTTCTCATCTCACGAGTAATACCAGCTCCACCCCTCGCACCGCACCAACTCCCCTTGTACCTCCCGCCCCCCTGCTCCCCCTCCCCCTCCCTCAAGCCCTCGCTTCCTTCCCCTCCCTCAAACGGCCTCTCCCTCCCTCCCGCCCCCTTGACGCCCCCTCGCCGCCCTCCCTACTCCCCCCATCCCACCTCGCCCCCTGGCAGGAGGCGATGACAAACAAGCCAGTGCATCGACTGGTCGGCTCAGCTGCAAATCACCTCCCGAGAATCTCACAAGCGATGCGAGCAATCCCCCCACTCGCTCCCTTCCCCAAACCCCAACCGACCACCCCCCTCCGCCCGCCCCCCCATCCGCCACGCCCCCTGGCAGGAGGCGATAGCGAATCAGTGCATTGACTGGGCGGCGCAGGTGCAGATCACTTTCCAAGCGGCCTCGCAAGAGGTCAGTGCGCACGCGCTCTGCATGTGGGTGTCGATGTGTGGTTAGGTGTGTGTGGGTAGGTGTGTGTGTGTGAATGAGGGTGAGGGTGTGGGCGTGGGGTTGGTTGGATTGGGTGTGTGTGTCTGCATGCATGTGCCATCTTGGTCATTATATCCGCCTGTTAACTCGCGTCCTTATCTTGGCATCTCCTCCTCTTCTTTCCCACCCACCTCTGTCTCTATTCCACTGCACTGCGCGTGTGCTGTGCGTGTGCCGTGCGTGTGCCGTGCGTGTGCCGCGCGTGTGCTTGACTGTGGTGGGGAGCAGATTCAGCTGCTGTCAAGCCTGGTCACTGTGTTCTACTTTGGGAAGCAAGGAGACGCTGCTCTCGACGAGGTACTCACCATGCTCCCTTGCTCCCTTGCTCTCCTGTTTTGAGTCGACTCGAAAATAGAACCATCGCACCCGTCTTTTACTTTGGGAAGCAAGGAGACGCTGCTCTCGACGAGGTACTGAAATGCTGCCATGCTGCCATGCTGCCATGCTGCCATGCTGCCATGCTGCCATGCTGCCATGCTGCCATGCTGCCATGCTGCCATGCTGCCATGCTGCCATGCTGCCATGCTGCCATGCTGCCATGCTGACATTCTGCCATGCTGCCATGCTGCCATGCTGCCATGCTCCCTTCCTGCCTTCCTGCCATGCTGGCAGATGGCCTGTGTTGCATTGCATAGCGTTCATCTTGAACGCTGTTCACACGCCTGCCCACACGCACGCACCACGCGCATGCATGCCCACACGCCCACAATGCACGCATGCACAAGTGACGTGCACAAATCCACACACACACACACACACACACACACACACACACACACACACACACACACACATGCACACACACCCCCTGTATCACTCCCCCTGTATCACTCCCCCTGTATCACTCCCCCTGTATCACTCCCCCTGTATCACTCCCCCTGTATCACTCCCCCTGTATCACTCCCCCTGTATCACTCCCCCTGTATCACTCCCCCTGTATCACTCCCCCTGTATCACTCCCACCCCCCCAACAGCCCACGTTCCGCGACTACATCAACCAGACGCACTTCTCGCGCCCCTTCGCCTCCAACGTGGGCTTCGCTCCCTTTGTCACCACCTCGCAACGAGCTGCGTTTGAGGCAGCCATGAGAAGGAGGCAGCAGCAGCAGCAGCAGCAGCAGGAGGAGGGTACATTAAGCAATTGTATACAGTGCGTGCTCCTTCGCACTCTGCACCCACACACCCTGTGTGCTCCTTCGCACTCTGCACCCACACACCCTGTGTGCTCCTTCGCACTCTGCACCCACACACCCTATGTGCTCCTTCTCACTCTGCACCCACACACCCTGTGTGCTCCTTCGCACTCTGCACCCACACACCCTGTGTGCTCCTTCGCACTCTGCACCCACACACCCTATGTGCTCCTTCTCACTCTGCACCCACACACCCTGTGTGCTCCTTCGCACTCTGCACCCACACACCCTATGTGCTCCTTCTCACTCTGCACCCACACACCCTGTGTGCTCCTTCGCACTCTGCACCCACACACCCTGTGTGCGTACTTTTGGAATCATTGTCGTCGCCATGCCACTTTGCTGCCATGCTCCTCTGTTTCTCCCATTCCTCTGCTTCGCTCCCCTCTCCTGCTCTCCCTTCCCTCTGCTCCCCTCCCGCTCCCATTGCCCCTCTGTTGCTTCCGTCTTCCGCTCGCCTCCCCTCCCACTCCCCCTTCTCTACTTCCCAGTGGCCCTCTCAGCGTCCCCAACGCCTCCTGCATGCCACAGCACTCTCTCTACACGCTTCTGCCTTCCCCAACCAACCGCTACGCTGCTCCGCCCCTCCGTTTCTACCCCCCTGCTTTCCTCCACGTCCCTCCTCTCCTCCACCGCCCATATCCCTCCCATCCCATACCCCTCCATACCCCTCCATACCCCTCCAATTGCATCCCATACCCCTCTCAGCGCCCCCAACGCCTCCTGCATGCCGCAGCAGCCTCTCTACGCGCCGCTGCTCTTCACTGACCGCGCTGTTGACACGCCTGCCCAGTCCTTTCTGGGGCTCGACATGCTCTCACGTGAGTCCCTGTTTTCGAAGTGCCTCAAAGGTATGTTTTTTTAGGCCCCTCAAAAGTCAAAAAAGTTTAGGCGCCTCAAAAGTAAAGAAAGTTTAGGCGCCTCAGAAGTAAAAAAGGTTTAGGCGCCTCAAAAGTCGCCGCTGCTCTTTACTGACCGCGCTGCTGTTGACACACCTGCCCAGTCCTTTCTGGGGCTCGACATGCACTTTCTCGCGTGAGTCCCTGTGAACGCTCCACTCCGCCCTTGCCTGCACCTTGTGTATAACCGGCTCGGCTTTGAGACGTCTCAATTTGGCTAGTGTCGCTGTTTATCAGGGTGCAAAATTTCGCCGAATTTTTCAAAATTTGGGCGAAAATTTCGCAAATTTCCCCCGATTTTTTCCGATAATTGCGGTCAGAAAAAAATATAAATCTGGTGCAAATTTTCGTTCGAATTTTTACATAAAATAAAAGAAAAAATCGTGAATAAATGGGAAAAAAACGATGGATGCAAATCTTACGGGCATTTTGCTGCCAGATTTAGGCAGATCAGCCATTTAGGCACCAGATCTCTGCATATATCTGGCATTTCGCCGCCAGGAAATTTTGGACTTTTTTTTTAAGGCCTAACAGAATTTCGCCAAAATTTTCAGAAACTGCCCGAAAATTTCCACCGAAAATTTCCAAGCGAAAATTTCCCTGACCGCAATCTTCCGCCGTGTCTGTGAATGCCCCACTTTCTTTCTCCTTCTCCTTCTCCTTCACGTTCCCCTGCTCCTTCCTTCTCCTTCTCCTTTCCCCACTCCTGCCTTCCCTTTGCCTCTCCTGTGCTCTCCACCTTTTGAGACGTTTCAAAACCCTCTCCCCACCTCCCCCTTGCGTCTCTATTGCTGTCCGCCATTGCAACTTGCAATCCCTATTTGCCCTCCCAACTCCCGTTCCCTCCTGTCCTCCCCTCCTGTTGTCCATCCCAACCCCCCTCCCCTCCCCTCCCCTTCCCCGGCAAAACATCCCTTCTTTGCAGTTCCGGAGTTGAGGGAAGCTGCGAGGAGCGTGTCCCAAGCGGGTCCGTCGGGGCTGCTGGCAGCACCACCGGAGGGGCAGTCCCATGAAGTGGCGATCAAGCTCTTCCCCGTCCACCGCAACGCCACTGCTGCTGCTGCTGCTGCTGCTAGTGCTGCAGCCCTCACCGGCTCCCACTCTACCCTCCCCTTCCCTTCTCCCTTGCAGTTCCGGAGTTTAGGGAAGCTGCGAGGAGTGTGTCCCAAGTGGGTCCGCCGGGGCTGCTGGCAGCACCACCGGAGGGGCAGCCCCGGGACGTGGAGATCAAGCTCTTCCCTGTCTACCGCAACTCCTCTGCTGCTGCCGCCGCAGCCGCTGCAGCCGCGGCTGCTGCTGCTGCCGCTGGTACCAGTGGGGCTGCTGTGTTTGGTGCTGGCGCTGCTGGTGGAAGTGCAGGAGCGTCGGAGAGTGACCTAGGGAAGGGAATAGGAGGGCTCCTAGTGGCGACCTTCAACACCTCCAGCATGTGGGCTCCCGTCTTCAAGGTATCCTGCCACTGCTGCTGCTTTTGCTGCTTTTGTTGCTTTTGCTGCCACTGCTGCTGCTTTTGCTGCGTAATCAAGACACGGAGCTCCTCGCAGGGCTTCTCTTTAGCTGAGTCGATAGTTAAGTTGAAATAAAGATTTCACAGGCTGTATGTATTCGTCTGCTTGACTTAATCGTGTGCCACTAGAACGAGGTGACTTTTGAGTCGACTCAAAAGTCACCTCGTAGTTAAGTTGACATAAAGATTCGCAGGCTGTATTCGTCTGCGGGACTTAATGCAATCTGCTGCTCGTCTGGTACGCGTGTGTTTGTCTCTTCACTTGGCGAGCCGTGGCTGCTGCATGTTGGGCACTCATGCCGTGGCTGCTGCATTTTGGGCACTCATGCCGTGGCTGCTGCATGTTGGGCACTCATGCCGTGGCTGCTGCATGTTGGGCACTCATGCCGTGGCTGCTGCATGTTGGGCACTCATGCCGTGGCTGGTGCATGTTGGGCACTCATGCCGTGGCTGCTGCATGTTGGGCACTCATGCCGTGGCTGCTGCATGTTGGGCACTCATGCCGTGGCTGCTGCATGTTGGGCACTCATGCCGTGGCTGCTGCATGTTGGGCACTCATGCCGTGGCTGCTGCATGTTGGGCACTCATGCCGTGGCTGCTGCATGTTGGGCACTCATGCCGTGGCTGCTGCATGTTGGGCACTCATGCCGTGGCTGCTGCATGTTGGGCACTCATGCCGTGGCTGCTGCATGTTGGGCACTCATGCCGTGGCTGCTGCATGTTGGGCACTCATGCCGTGGCTGCTGCATGTTGGGCACTCATGCCATGGCTGCTGCATGTTGGGCACTCATGCCGTGGCTGGTGCATGTTGGGCACTCATGCCGTGGCTGCTGCATGTTGGGCACTCATGCCGTGGCTGCTGCATGTTGGGCACTCATGCCGTGGCTGCTGCATGTTGGGCACTCATGCCGTGGCTGCTGCATGTTGGGCACTCATGCCGTGGCTGCTGCATGTTGGGCACTCATGCCGTGGCTGCTGCATGTTGGGCACTCATGCCGTGGCTGCTGCATGTTGGGCACTCATGCCGTGGCTGCTGCATGTTGGGCACTCATGCCGTGGCTGCTGCATGTTGGGCACTCATGCCGTGGCTGCTGC